TGCAATCGGCGGTAGAAGTCTCTGCTCTGAATCGGTTCGTAGGAATGAAGCGGCGGATCCAGGTCTTTCAAGGCTTAATTAAATTACTTTCCAAATCCTAATCCTAATTGGTCAAATATTTTAAAAAACTTTTCAATTTAAGATTCGTACCCAATTCCTACCCGATTCGTCTGGATTCGTACCCAATTTCTACCCGCCGAATCCAAACCTGTAGATCCGTTTCCGGTACGTCACTAGCCGTCCCCGCGTCGCTTCCGGAGCGGGAGGCGGCACCAAACTGCCGAACCCGTGCAACCTAGGCCATGCTATCTCTAGTCCTTTTGAAAGATGATCACGTAAACGAAAACGGGAAGAATAAGAAGAAGAAGAGGTTGGTGATGCCCCCAGGTCTGAGGGGGCTCCCGATAATAGGGCACCTCCATTTGATAGGGAAAAACCCCCATCGAGATTTCCAAAAGCTGCCCCAAATCCACGGCCCCATCATGCGCCTGCGGCTGGGAAGCGTCGACACCATCGTTTCCTCGCCGCAGGCAGTGGCGGAGCCAAAGAGGAGCAATTGACTGCAATTGCAGTCACTCCATTTTTTATTTTTTAATACCATATATATATATATATAGAGAGAGAGAGAGGGGGGGGAGAAAGAGAGAGGAGACAGAGCAGAGGGGGTCCGCATAAATAATGGAGATGTGCCAGGGCATATTTCTGCTTGAAGTTTTTTAAAGAGCATGTATATCAATTGATAATATGATTTTTTCTCTACTAATTTGGTGTGATTTTTAATTTTTTTGTTTTTGATTAAATTAATATGAGGATTATGCTCAAATCAACACTTGTTTTTTAAATTAACAGTTTTGGTGAAGAAATTGTACAAAGTACATTTATCTCTCTCCATGAGTATTTGTTCATGTTTGACTTTTTTTTTGGACAAAATTGGTAAACTTTGACTTCAAATTAAATACAAATGATATTGAATATTGATACAAAAATAGTGTTATTAGACTTATTATATCATATATTTTCATAATATTATTTTATTTAATTAATAAACAAATACAAATAGATTATTAATATATAATTTCTATAATTTTTTAATATACAAATTACAAGATAAAATGGATTAAATAAGTGCATTGGATGGTGTGCCAAAAGGTAAATGGACAAAGAGAGTGGGACGGAGGGAGTATATCTTATTTAATTATAGGTCAAATGTTGAAAATAGTTGGCTGAAAAAAGTTTAAACTGAACAAATACTCAGGAACGGAGGTAGTAATATTTTTTAATATACTTACATTTAAATTATATGAATGTTAGCTTGACATAAAATTCATTAATTTTTTTTATTGTTTTATACTCCGTATTACCTTTATAAATAAATATTTGAGGCACGACTCACGAGCTCCCGGTATAACGCACCCACTACTCCTAAATCTGGCTCTGCCACTGGCCGCAGGCGGCGGAGCTGTTCCTCAGAACGCACGACCTCAACTTCGCCACCAGGCCGCCGATGAAGGTTGCGGACTACATAATGTACGGCAAGAAGGACGTGCTGTTCGGCCAGTACGGCCCGCTCTGGCGGGAGATGCGCAAGCTTTTCATCGTGGAGCTCCTCAGCAGCCACAAGGTGAGCTCTTTCGAGTCCTTGAGAAGAGAGGAGTTGCGTCTTCTCGTAGAGTCTCTCAAACGGTCGGAGGCGGGGGCGGCGGTTGACTTGAGTGCCAAGGTGGCATCCATGGTGGAGAACATGACTTGCAGGATGCTTTTTGGGAGGAAGTACGACGCGGCGGTGGCGGCGGCGGGGGCCATGGTTGAGAAGGGGGGTTTTAAGGCTGTGATTGATGAGGCGGCTCATTTGGCGAGCGTCCCTAACCTAGGGGATTATTTTCCTATTCTTGGGAAGCTTGATGTGCAAGGGTTGGTTCGAAAGGCCAAAGTGGTGAAGAACCTCTTTGACCAATTCTTTGAGATGATCCTTGAGGAGCATGAACACAAAAGAGTTCCAATAATGGATGATGAACATGAGGAGGAAGAAGAAGACTTTGTTGATATCATTTTGGGAATTTTTAAAAACAGAGAAACCTCCTTTGAGTTCACACGCCAACATGTCAAATCCATTATGCTGGTATGTAAGAATATACTCCTTCCATCCTCTCCAAAAATACCTTTCCCGGTGTTTAAAAAAAAATTATTATATTATTTTTAAATTATAACTCATCTATCCTACATATTATATCGAGTTATATGCATATATAGTTCTTGTGATGTATCATAAGTGGGTAAATAGTCCTCGAACCTTTAGAAATTGTCAAATAGTCCATGTGGTCAAACAACCATAGCATAATTATTAGTCCCTATATATATTAGAAAATTCGTAAAATATACGTGTATGCTCTTTGTGTTTTACGTTTTCTTTAAAGAAGGAACTAATTATTCATCAATTCTTTGATCACAAGGATTATTTTGCAACTTTAAAAGTATATTGACTGTTTACCTACTTATGAAAAACTATAGAGACTATTAAATTTGTGTGTTTTACTCTATTATATGTTACCCTATTAAGGAGTATAAAGTAAGGACAAAATTTAAAAAATAATGCTAAAATCGTATTTTCTTCATCGCATAAACTCTTTCTTCTTTCTTTTTTTTCTTTGTCCCACTAAGTGTTTCCTCTTTCTATTAAAAAACCACTTATACTCTTACTAATTCTTACTCTACCAATCACATCATACTTTGTTTACTAATAATAATCCAAAATCACATCAAGGGATTTTTTAGAAATTCAACATATTTTTGTCGTAAAAGTCAAAATACGAACAATTTAATGGACGGAGGAAGTCAATTTTTAAGACGCATCAGTCTTCAAACAAAAAATGTTTTTTGGGACGGAGCGAGGTAGTAATTTTTTTTTACCATCCCTCCTTAAACCCTACGCATGTTATTTTGTGTAGTGTCATATACTCCCTCCGTCCTATAATGTTCTTCCCGTTTGTGTTTACGAGGTTTGACCGATTTTATTTTCAATTTAATTTATTTGATTGTAGTTGTAAAATTAAAAAATAAAATTTATATATTTAAAAACTACATCAAAAGTTCTACAAAACAAGTGGTGACAAGACTATATTATTTTATCAAATACCTAATGAAAATAAGTAAAGAAAGTGATTAAAGTTTGACCGTGTGAAAAGTAACTGGGAAGAACATTTTAGGACGGATGGAGTATGAATTAGGGGAGGATGGAAGTAAAATAAGGCCCCGTTTGGTACACGGAATTCAAACTATGGAATTGGAATTGAGGACTTCAATTCCAATTCTAGTGTTTGGTAGCACAAAAATCATGTGGATTTGGAATTGATAGTGCAAAAAATGAATTGGAATTGGTGAATTAAATTCTATGGAATTGAATCCTATGGAATTTCAATTCCAATTCCATCAATTCCGTATACCAAACGGACCCTAAATGTACTTCTTATCATCCCGACATTTATGTTACATATATTGTTATATACACATACAATCGAGGGGGGAATTTGTTAGGATCAAATAATCCTTCTGTATTCATTCGTATATCTCGCTGGTCCAGTACATCATGTGCATGTATATGTATACAAAGGAAAACAAAGTAACCTCTACCAAGTATACAAAAGGTCAATAATAATTACACAATAATATTTCTTTAAGAGTGCCGTATGGTGTTCCATTCCTCACCCCATAACCATGCATGCATTGAATAATATTATACCAATATTATTTCATATTATTTCCTTAACACCCCCCTCAAGTTGGAGCATGGAGAAAACAAATGCCCAACTTGGGAAGTAAAGCCTCAAACTGTCCTTTACCAAGCGCCTTGGTGAGAATATCTGCACATTGATCGCGAGTTGAGACGTGAGATACTCGAATAGAACCACGCAATAATTCATCCCGAACAAAATGACAATCAATTTCGATATGTTTGGTGCGCTCATGAAAAACCGGGTTTGCCGCAATATGAAGCGCCGCCGTATTATCACAAAATATCTGCATCGGGGCGGGATGATGCACGCCCAAGAAGCATAAGAGACCACAAAGCCATTTGAGCTTGCAAGTCAAGACGGCCATGGAGCGGTATTCTGCCTCCGCAAAGGATCGAGCTACAGTAGGTTGTTTCTTGGTTTTCCATGATATGGGGGATACACCTAGCTGGACAAACCAACCGGTAAGAGATCTACGAGTCAAAGGACATGCGGCCCAGTCGGAGTCACACCAACCTGTCAAGTGGAGTGAACTATCAGAACGTAAAAGAATATCGTGGCCAGCCGTCCCTTTAAGGTAGCGGACCACCCCCAATGCGGCATTCCAATGATCAGTGCGTGGATCCTATAAAAACTGAGCCAATGTATGGACGGAATAGGAAAGATCTGGTCGAGTAACAGATAAATACACTAGACTCCCGACTAAGCGTCGATATGCACCGGGGTCGTCAAGCAATGGACCAGACGCCAAGGAAAGCCTATGGTTCGGCTCCATTGGAGCACCAAGAGGACAACAACCAAGCAACCCAGATTCGGTAATAATATCAAGAGCATATTTCCGTTGGGTAAGGAATATCCCCGTTGGATTCCGAGCCACTTCAATTCCAAGAAAATATTTGAGTTTCCCCAAGTCCTTCATATGGAAACAATCAGACAAATAGGTCTTAAAACGAGCAATCTCCACAGAACTATCACCAGCAATAACCAAATCATCCACGTAAATCAAAACATGGATAACCGAACCAGTTCGGTTGTAAGAAAATAAGGAGTAATCAGAGTAGGACTGGCAAAACCCATACCGGCGTAATGCCTCGGAAAGCTTAGCGAACCAACAACGAGGTGCTTGTTTAAGCCCATAGAGTGATTTCCGCAATTTACATACCATCTTCGGGGCTTGAGGCCGAAACCCAGGAGGGAGCTTCATGTATACTTCCTCAGGTAAATCACCGTGAAGAAATGCATTATGAACGTCCATCTGATGGATCTCCCATTGGCGGATAGCAGCAACTGTCAAAAGTACACGCACCGTAGTGAGCTTCACCAGAGGAGCAAAAGTCTCATTGTAATCAATACCTTCCACCTGTCGATTTCCATGAATCACAAGCCGAGCTTTAAACCTCTCTACTGAACCATCAGATTTCCATTTGATACGAAAAACCCACTTACACCCCAAAGCCTTTGTATGAGGGGGCAACGGTACTAAGGTCCATGTACCGTTATTTTCTAATGCGGTAACTTCTTCAGCCATTGCCTTACGCCACGCAGGAGATTGCACAGCCTCCCGATAAGACTGTGGTTTGGTATCAGAATCAATCTTCGCCAAATAACTCCGGTGGTAGTCTGAGAAACGTGCATAATCAACGAACTTTGTCAACGGATACCGGCATGATTGATTGTCCGTAGTTACGGTGTATGTGACGTAATCTTGCAGCCGCACATTTGGAGTTCTCGAACGATGACCACGGCCCAACTCACTGTCCGCAGGTGGAGCAGCGAAGGACGCCATGGTGCAACTAGTCTCAGACGTCGGGGGAATGGACAGTAGCTCCGGAGGATCTGCCCTGCTGTTCTCGGCTGCCCTGCTAGTCTCAGTTCCACTACTGGCAGTGGAGTCTGCTGGATTCTTACGCACAGGATCAGGGCCAGCACCAGAAATGTTGTTCGGGCGTGCATGATCATCATCATCAATGTATGTGAATTCGGGAGCAGCAGGGGCTGATCCAGGGTCTTGAGTCGGAGAAACATCCTGAAAAGGAAAAACATCTTCGCAAAAAATCACGTCACGAGAAATAAGAAATTTGCCCGTGTCTTTACAAAACACGCGCCACCCTTTCTTCCCAAAGGGATAACCCACAAACACGGCAGGTGTGCTACGTGATTCAAACTTATCTCCGCAACGATCTTGATTATGAACATAGCATAAACATCCAAAAACCCGTAGATGAGAGAAAGCTGGTTTACTACCAAAAATAATTTCGTAGGGAGTCTTTCCATGTAATAAAATGGACGGTGTACGATTGATGAGATACGCGGCAGTGATAATGCATTCTCCCCAAAACTCAAGAGGCAAAGAACTCTGAAAACGGAGAGCCCGAGCGACATTCAAAATGTGTTGATGTTTACGCTCGACTCGTCCATTTTGTTGAGGTGTAGCACGGCAAGAACATTCATGTAGAATCCCTTGTTCACGAAAATAAGGATCGAGGCATTCAAACTCTGTTCCATTGTCACTACGTACGGTTTTTTGTTTGGCATCAAACTGATGAGTGATCATGGCACAGAATTGACGAGAAATGGTAGGGACCTCAGATTTTGCCCGTAACAGATAGACCCACGTACCCCGAGAGTAATCATCCACAATGGTGAGAAAAGATTTAAAACCATCCATAGTTGGTGTCCGATAGGGACCCCATAAATCAATATGAACAAGTTCAAACAAGTGAGTTGTTTTATTGGTACTAATGGGAAAACTTGCGCGAGATTGTTTAGCACGTAAACAAATAGAACATGGTGCTTTATTCAAAACACTAGCCTTACTATCATTAGCTAGAGGAAAGAAAGATAAAACTTTAGGAGACAGATGACCCAAACGTTGATGTCATAGATCAAACGCACATCCTTTTATTGCCGACATTGCACAACCCACTTGAGACTGTTGAAAGTAATACAGACCCTCACTTCGCCTACCCGCACCAATCGCCTGCATCGTGGCACGGTCCTGTAACACACATAATTCCCCATCGAATTTAACCACACAGTTAGTCTCCGTTATGAGTTGAGAGACAGAAATCAATGCACAATTTAAATCAGACACGAACAAAACATTATTCAATATGAGAGAAGCATTCATATGTACTCGGCCAGCGGTCGTTGTCGCAACCCTTTTTCCGTCGGGCAACCTAATCCAACATCCGGATATTTTATGTATATCGAACAAACTGCTACGGTCTCCCGTCAAGAATCCATGTTTTACTGATAGGAATACCTGACAACTTTTCAGTAGAACCATCTTTGACAGACGCAAGTAAGGCCCGGAAAGTATCCCACTGTTCCGCCGTAAGAGTGGGAACGGTAGTCACTGTTGGTTCTTGGCCGCCACCATGGACGGGAGTCACTGTTGCCGCATGGGCCATGGCCGGACCTGCTCCACGTCCAAAGGAAAATCCCCGACCACGGCCACGGCCCCGACCTCCTCCACCACGAGTGCGCGACCCCCATCCTTCCGGATATCCGTGCAACTGGAAGCAATTATCCTTGTCATGGCCGAGTTTCTTGCAGTAGCCACAGGTCACATTTTTGTCACGATGACCCTCGGCAGGATTAGCACGGGTTACGAAAGCAACATTCTCCGGGAGATCACGAACGTGTGAAGCCCTGGCAGTTTCTTCCTGAGTGAGCACGCGGTAAACACGTGCCGTGGTGGGGAAGGGCTCCTGTGATAACAGCGTGGACTGAAGATGATCGTAGATTGCTTCGTCCAAACCCATCAAAAACTGATGGACCTTCTCTTCGTCCCTTCTTTTCTCCAATTGTTGTGCAATGTTACACGTGCATTTGCCACAAATACACACAGGATAAGGATCAATGTCGTTGAGGTCATCCCATAGCTTCTTGAGTTTTCCATAATAGGCCGCAATATTCAACCCGCGTTGATCGCAAGTTGACAACTCCCGCTTTATTTGTTGAATCCGTGGTCCATTAACCACCGAAAATTGTGCTTTGATATCTACCCACAATTCGCTAGCCATCTCCATGTGGGAAATCATAGTGCGGAGAGACGATTCAATAGTGTTTCGTATCCATGACACGATCAAGGAATTGTTCGTCCATCAATCTTCAAGATCCTCGGAGTCCTCCGGCGGTTGTGGAATGGAACCATCCACGAAACCAAACTTCTTGCGAGCCCGAAGAGCGGTACGGATAGCTCTCGCCCTTCAAAATAACTTGGGTTATGATTAGCCCAGGGTTATCATTAGCGTGCAAATCGTACGGGGATATTGTACGCCGTTGTGGAACGTCCTCGACAGGTTTCTTTGAGGCTGACTGATCTTCCGATGCCATCTGCGATTCCTCAGCAAGAAGCACGAAAAAAATGTTGGAAAATACCATGGTAGGATCAAATAATCCTTCTGTATTCATTCGTATATCTCGCTGGTCCAGTACATCATGTGCATGTATATGTATACAAAGGAAAACAAAGTAACCTCTACTAAGTATACAAAAGGTCAATAATAATTACACAATAATATTTCCTTAAGAGTGCCGTATGGTGTTCCATTCCTCACCCCATAACCATGCATGCATTGAATAATATTATACCAATATTATTTCATATTATTTCCTTAACAGAATTCAATTGGCAAACAAACATAACGTTTGTAGTGTAATATTTTGTAGGACTTGGTGGTTGCTTCGGTGGACACATCCACAACACTGATATTGTGGACAATGTCGGAACTCATAAAGAACCCAACAATAATGAAGAAGGTGAAGGAAGAACTTGGGAGACAAGTAGGGTTTGGTAGGGTGGTGGAGGAGAAGGACTTGGAGCACTTGAAATACTTAGAGATGGTCATAAAGGAGTCGCTTCGGATGCACCCTGTGGTGCCACTATTACTTCCCCATGCCGCCATCGAAGATTGTACCGTTGGCGACTTCCACGTGCCGAAGAACGCCAAGCTCGTTGTCAATGTTTGGGCAATCGCGCGGGACCCGAACGTGTGGGTCGACCCGGACTCGTTCGTGCCCGAAAGGTTTGAGGGGAGCAATGTTGACTATAGAGGTCGACATTTTGAACTCATCCCGTTCGGTTCGGGCAGGAGGAGTTGCCCCGGCTTGCAGCTTGGAATAACCACGGTTCGCCTAGTGGTTGCCCAACTTGCCCATTGCTTTGATTGGGATCTCCCAAACCCCACAAACGCAGACGCCACACGTAGCCAAGACTTGGACATGACCGAGGAGTATGGGTTGACTTTGAATCGAGCCCACCACTTGATGGCCGTTCCTAGTTACAAATTACTTGTTTAAGAAATATATATTTGTGCCCTCCCACATGCATCTTTATTTACTTACTAAATATGCATCCCCCCCATTTTTTACTCTAATATAATAATTTGTAGAAAATAATAAGAGAGAAATATTCTATATATTGAATTGGCTTGTGAAATACAAATTAAAGGATTGATCCCCTTGTTATTACGAATTAGAGTAATTGAGTAATCGAAGCAAACAGAAAATGTACAAACACACATATTTAATGTGATTCACCAACGTTGTGTTGGCTCATTTCCGTAGCGACAAACAATACAGATTCAAGGCATATTAACAAATCTCCACCTTGACTTGAAATCAATACGGAGACGGGCAACTAACAGCTCATGATCTTAAGCAAGTCCAGACAATGGCCATATTTGGTAAATGACGGTTCACCCAGCATTTGGCATCTTTGACCATAAACGGCGGATTGGACTAGTCAAATCACCAAATTAATTGTTTGGATAATGGCTTTTGGGATTGGCATTTAGAACTGAACAGCCAAAACTTGAAATGCCAACCCTAGCAGCATTTCATTTAGCAATTCACCCCCTTTTCCGTTTCTTACCATTTTTTTGGTGATGCGTCTCTCTGCGATCCTCACAGCACCGGAAGTTTTCCTGACTTTCTCTCTGCAATTTTCTGACTAGTCGAGAGCTTGTCTGATTTTTTGTCACTTCTAATGCTCATGTCGTCTCAAAAGATGTTTGATACTTCAGATTGTGATGTTTGTCTCGAGTAATTTATTTAATTTTTTAATTTAGAATTGGTATAGAGTATTTTTATATATTTATGATATCACATTTAAAAAATTATAAAATTAAATATATCATGCATGGTTGTTATTTGTAAAATGATAAATGAGAAAAATACAAAAAAAATCTACTTATAAAATATAAATGTAAATTCTCATTATTTAAATTAAAAAAAACGAAGTAGCCTTTTTTGTCCAACAAAAGAAATATATGTAAAATATTTTCTTGTATAATGTGAGTATTTTATCAAATTAAAAAAATTTAAAATCATACACAAATTAACATAAATGGAGGGATGTCCTCATATGTAATTTTACTCACAAACAGCTAACTATAAACAGCTAAAGTTTCCAAACATCTAATTTTTAACAGCTAACAGAAACAGCCGGTCAAAACAGCTAACTCAATCAGCCATTCAAACCAGCCAACATAAACAGCCAACTGCCATGTTTCAAACAAGGCCAATGTCGGAACTTGATATGTGGGACTGACTTAGTGAACATATCAGCAGAATTATCAGTAGTACCTACTTTCTCCACCCTGGTTTTCTTCTCATTCCTCATAAAATGATACCTCACATCAATATGTTTGTTCCTCTCATAGTGGACCTGATCATTGGCTTAACAAATAGCGCTCAGACTATCACAGAACACAATAGCTTGCTCTTGATCATGTAGACAAAGATCACCAACTAGTATAACCCTTTCAACCAGATTCCCCTCTTTAGCAGCTTTTGTCAACGTTATATACTCTGCTTCAATAGTAAAGAGAGTAACTGCAGTTAACAAAGTTGCTTTCCAACTAACAATAGAACCACCCAATAAAAGTGAAATTATAACCAATCTTATATCTTCTACTGTCAACATCTCCAGCATAATCAGAATTAGAATAACCAGTCACAGAACAGTGAGTACCACCTTTATAAATGAGACCAACATCAGACGTACCTCTAAGGTAGCAAAAAATCCTCTTCACGGCCTGCCAGTGCTCCTTTCCAGGTTGTCTTATGAACCTACTAACAACACTAACACCATGTGCTAATCCCTGCTGCTTCAACAACAATTGCATCTTGATCTACCATTAGCAAAAACTATTTCTCCTGTTGAATTTGTCAATCTTCACGTTCAGAGCAGACGACATCTTTGATCGACTAAAAAAACCCTAACAATGCGGAATTCAAAACCCTGATCGAAAATAAACCAGGAGCTCTGATACTAGTTTGTTATAACGGAATAGAGTAATTGAGTAATCGAAGCAAACATAAATTGTAAAGACACACATATTTAACGTAGTTCACCGACGTTGTGTTGGCTACGCCCACATGCAAGAATAGAGGCTGCAGATTGTATTATGATAGCGGTTCCATAGTATAGAGTTTTTGTGCCCTACCTCATTGGCATAGCGGCAAACAATGCAGATTCAAGGCATATTAAAACCCCTTTATATAGGAGGAGAAACAAAGCAAATAAGTAAACTACCATAGTTCTACATCTAGCATAAGTTTATTGCTACCACAATATGAATTACATTAAATAAGAAAAGCTAATCAATATTCTACTTTTTTCTTTCGAAATGTCATGCGCCAATACCCCATTAAGTTGGAGCATGCGGGTTCTGTGTGCCTTGCTTGGACAGCAAATGAGAAAATGAAGCAGAATCTAAAGCCTTTGTAAAAAGATCTACCAGTTCATCTGCGGTATTTGCCCACTTTTCTTATATGGAAAAGAAAATTAAATGAAATATCCACTATACCCTGAGTATTTGTCTTGTATTCCTTTTTAGGCCAGAAGCTTTTTGGGTCAGAAGGGCAAATACCGCAGATCCACTATACTCAGGGACGAAAGTTTTTTGGGTCGTCCCTAGGTATTTGTCTAGTATTCCTTTTTGGGCCGTCCCTCAGTATTTGTCAACTTTTTTATATGGGAAAGAAAATTAAATGAAATATCCACTATACCCTCACTTCTTTACTTGTTTGAAGGGCCCCTTATACTCTCTCTCACATCCTCAATTCCCCATCCTCTTCCTCTCTCATCTCTTCATCTCCTCCGATCCCCCCTCTTTATCTTCAATTCTAATTTTTCTTTCCTTTCTCATCTTTAATATTTTATTTATCTTCTTCTTCATCTCTCTCTCACAACACACACACATCTTCCAAGTAAATTGATGATGCCGGATGGATATCTTCTTTGCAGATGAGATGAAGATGGACGATGATGAGATGTTATTGATGGTCGGATGTGTAAGAAATATGGATTTATTCTCAAGATCTAGATCTCCGGCCAATAGATTTCTTTAAATTCAGATCTAAAATGTATTTCCTCAGTTTGTTTTTTTGTTTTTTTATTTCAAAATTGATTTGGGTTGTCAGTGGAGAGCTGGAGAACAGTGGATTAACCTTGGAGGTCGTTTGGATGAGTGGATGATGATGGATTTGGAGTTTAGCTTGCTGGTGAGGTTTTGGCCGACGAAATAACGCGAGAAGACATTGGGGATTTGGCAGGGGGTGATGGTGTTTGTCTCCGACTTGTTAAATTGACAGTGGTTAGGGCCTAAGGGTATTTGTGTCATTAGACATCTTGTATTGGTTATTATGCCACATTAAAAGCGGACAAAAACTAAGAGACGGAGGGATTAGTAATTTTTGTTAGTCTTAGTTCCTTAAATTAGAAATTTAATGTTAGCTACATTGGGAAATGTGTAAAGGACACCATAATATAATTCTTAGTTCTAGCATGAACATGTGATATTGGATCTCTTAGTAGTATAAATAGGCCTTGTATGAGGTCAAATAGAAAGGAGGTCAAATAGAAAGGATGCACACCAATTGTATTTTGCTTCTCTTGTGAAATAAAGGTCGTTCTTTGTTAAATTTGTCTGTTTTAATAAAATTTTAAATTTTTCAATTCATTTTATTTGAATATTGATATAAAATATTATATTTTATCAAATAATCAATCAAAATGCACAAGTAAACAAAAGTTTTCGTAATTATTGAATTGAATTGTGAAGATGTAATTCATTTTAGGATGGAGGGAGTATTTACAAGGACTTTAAAGTTGTTGTATAAAACAACGTCTTTAAATTTTTTTTCAACACACTTTACCTTTTATATAAATTAGTATCTAAGAAAAAACAAAAAAAGAGCTGTAAAATCTGAACCGCCAAAAACCAAATCGATAAATCAAGGGTTCACATATATTCTTGAAACCGAACCAAGGGTTATAATTAATGATTAATTTCTTTAAATTTGATTAGAAAAAGTTAAACTAGATAAATATTCTAGAACCGTATTTTAAAAAGGGATCCTATTCTTTGACATTAAGTACTACTACCTCCGTCCCTGAAAACCTTTCTCCTTCATCCGTCCCAAAAAATACTTCTTATTTCTATTAAAAAGTCACTTTTACCCCTTACCTTTTCATACCTCTACCTATCATATCACACCTTTTTACTAATAATCTATCCATCAAATCATACTTTTACCTATCACATCAAAGGACATTTTTGTAAATTAAATACCAAAATACACTCACCTTAAATATTTTCAAAATCAAAACATCCCATGTTTTAGAAGAGACCCATATACTAATACTACTACTTCATAATAGCCAAACTCGCTATCTTAAACATGGTACACCGTATAACTTTTACAATACGACAGAAGAGACAAAAGTGCTGTTTTCAATCTCTTCCATATAATTTGATATTGGACTTATTACATGAAAGTATGTCTCAAACATTAAATTGATAAAAAAATGACAACTTAAAGCAACGTCTACCTAATTGCAGTAAAGTCAAACCCACGGAAAAGACTAATCGCCGTTTAATACTGTAACATAAAGATATTCCACTTTTTGTTTCTAAGGGAAACACGTCTCATTTGTACACTAGACAAACACAAACACACGTAGACACAAAATATAACCAAACGATGCCACGTGGTTAGAAATTAGAATTGTGATAGTCGGATGAACAAATGCGGAGTTGGCAATCCTCCTGATGATTTTTCTCTGCTCTTACTTGGTATCTAAGTTTCTTTAATCTTCATTGTATGAGTAATTTTTTTTTTCTTTAAAATTTTAGGGCAAAATTATCAATTAGTAAAACTCTGTTTTTATATTAGCAAAAATTTTAAGACAACACTTTTTTCTTAGAATTTTATGTTAGCAAGAATCTTTTTTTTTTTATTTTAGATTTCCTATTTTATGTATACATTTGGGTTTGGCTATCTTGATGGGGACTGGTCCATCCTCTCTTTATGTAATTTTTCCCTTTTAAAAAAAAACTATATTTTCCAATGAATTAATTGAAATTCTAAAATTTTTAATGCATCTTCAATTTAATTTAAAATAATCTTATATTGTCATTTGACATTAACTACACAAATATGTCTAATTAAAGGG